AAGTAAAATGCTGGACGACCCACACTGGTTTTAAAAAAAGATCATTGTTGAAATTCTACCGTAAGAATGGCGCAATACCGTGAGTTCGAACGAAAGGCGGAAAAATACCGTAACTTCGAACGAAAGAAGGGAAAATACCGTAACTTCGGAGGATACCGTAGCCTGATGAATGTGATTTCTGGGCGTTTCAGAATCAATATGCAAAAAAACTCTCATGTTTCCCTCTTCACTCAGTCAATATTTTGGGAAGCACTGAGGATCAAAATGAGGAAAATAACAGCTGCCTTCAGAATCGTTAAAAGCAAAAATACAGCCCGGATTCAAAATCAGTAAGAAAGAAAGCCCTGGTTCTTCCTGGATTTTACATTTACGGTTGTTGTAACTGATTGTCATCGATCGTTTCTTTTTCCTCATCCGTGGTCGTCACGCAAACAGTTGAAACAGTATCGTCCGATTCTGATGCACTCACAATTATCGCCAGATTCGCAGTCTCTAATGCTGTACTGAAACAGAAAAAAAAAAACATTCACTGATATAAATGCACTCTTACAAAGTGTAATTTTACAAGCCAGACTGTCTAAATTGGCGAAAATGTTTTTTTTTTAACAATTACATAAAAGCGGATAGATGAAGCGGATAATGGAATGGTAGCCGCACACGATCAAGCGAAAATTGGGGAGGCCATCAGCGAGGTGGAGTGACCCCATGGTACGCCTGTATGGTACTACGTGATCTCGGAGAGCGCAACAACGAGTCGAATGGAGAAGTTGCAAGATGTATCGATGGCATGACAACGAACGTCGATGACATAGAGCTGCCCAAGTATTCAAGTATGCAGACAAAATAATAATACAAAGCCTTCGTCGCAAAATGAAGTCTTTGTTGTGCAAATGCATGAACCAGGAAAGGAATGAATCGTCCTCATCTTTGAACGCAACATGGTAAACATTCGACCATTGGCCCAACTGACAAGGAACATTCCGGAAGTACTTCCACTGTGCGAGTCTAGTTAGAAGCGCTTCCAGGTTGCGCAAAACACACCTTTCTTTTCTTATCTGCTTCCCCAAAACAATCTATACTTTCCATGGCGATTTTTTATTGTCGGCTTTCCGTGATAATCTCGTGTGCTTCTATCGGGAGAACCTTCAAGCTAGTAATGCCTTCAGAAAACGAAACAAATGTCAGGATCGCCAACAGACTGACTGCTAGGCGGATGCAGCACTTGGTCAAAGCAACTGGAAAAGCTGCCAGCTGCACAGCTGAAGAAACAGACTATTAATTATAACTTCGCAAATATTTCAGATATATCTCACCTAAACGAATTGACCAAATGGCAAATATGAATTGGGAAAAAAAACCCTGCTCCACTCTTTTCTATTTTGAGCTTCTCTCATTCACATAACTGTAGGAACTGTCAGTGGCACCGTTAATGGCGAAAGATTCTCAACGATCTAATTGCAGCTATTTATAAAAAAATGCTCTCAGGTACTACTTGCAAACTAATGATACACGCTAGCAACACAGACAGAAGATGCGAACTAGCGACAAACAGCCCAGGATGTAAGATATCTGTGCAAACGTAAGGGAAGGGAGCAGGACTGGAGGGGGGAAGAATGGCACAAACAAATGCGTTCAAAAAATGAAACCAAAAAAAAAAATGAAGTCATAAGAAATGAAAAAAAAATTCAAAATGCAAAAAAAAAATGAAAAAAAAATTCAAAATCTGAAAAAAAATTGGCCAACGCACGGGCTGCCCGTGCGAAGATGCGTTTTTTGCATGGTTCCCCGTAG